AGAATGAGAGAGAGCGTTTCGGTGCACAAACTCGCTAAAAATAGCGAATTTTTCAAATTTCAGCTCTAGTAAAAAGAGGAAAGGTGTCAAAAACTGCTTTTTATCTGACAGTCTGCTCCCTAACATTCTATCGTCTTGCTTCCAAATAGTCCTCGAAAGAGGGAGAAATCATTAGACCTGTCAACCGATGACTGCTGGCGCAACCAAGTACTACTCCCGAGTGCTCCCGCCCTTCGTACAGAATGAATACTGGGAAGTTTTGACTTTAACTCATTCTAACACCTCAACTAGTGATCGTCCCGGTTCTCTGATCTAGTAAAATGTGCTCAAACAAAAAGAATTCTTTAAAAAAATGGCATATTTAGAACAGATGAAGACAGAAACAGGGGAAATTCCAAGTTTGGAATAAAATGAAATTTGAGGTACGCAACTAATTTGGGGAAAAAATCGGGGAAATTAGTCCAGAAACGCTTACTTTGGTACCGTATTTTAAATAGAGTCGTTTAAAAATATACAAAAATCGAAAAAGACAAAAAAGCGCGTGCTCTATCCCTTTTTCGACCGATATGCGCGTAGGATAACAAAAATACATGTGAAATAAACAATCAACAGCACAAATCTATTTTTAAAAAAAAAAAAAAAAACAGAATAAACGTTCAGCAGCATAAAATCTATAAAAAAAAAAAAAAAAAACAAATATGAGATCAGTCACTTGAGCCATCGCTCGCAGCATCCGAATCCCCATCCTGAAATAAAAAATGTTACGTAATATCCTGTGGTATCAGATTATCGCAACATACCAAGTTCTATGTGTAAAAAATTTAGCAAACCTTTTCTGTCTTCGCCTTTTCGTCGTTACTACTATCTTCCGTATCACTGATGTATTCTTTCGATTTTGCTTTTGCCAATTTCACCGGCGAACTAAAATCACAAAATGCTTTTTACACTTCAAACTTCGCAATTTGAACATAATAATGAAAAGAAGAATGGCTAAAGCAAACATTAAGCTAACAATACTATTGTATACAAAAGCACATTTGCTCCGGAATGAACAAAGAACTGTTACTTTAAGATAAACAGAAATAAATAGAGATGCGCACCAGGGTAGTTGGTGCAATCATGCGTTTTGGTTCAGTTTTATCTAGCAGATGTTTGCTGTTAAAAATGTTCACTGCTTAGCTGCTTGCATGTGCAGAAATCGTCCGAATTTTCCGTTCGGCTAAAACTTTTGTACTGAATTGTACTTGAGATTCAACTGTGTGGGATCTGAATCTGAAATTGAAGCAGTTGCACATGTTCAGAAAACATGTTCTTGAAATTCTGGTTTCCTTCCTTATCTGGCCCTGGAAATGGGAAATTTCATCGGGACGCTCTTACTTACTGACATACCGCGGTACCCCGGAGGCACTAGTGATCCTTTGAAAAAATTTTGGCTAACTGCAAAAAACCGCACCTCGGCTTCGATTTCTTGGCCTTTTTGGCTTTTGGTGCACTCGATGAAGCAGCTGCAGCCTCCGGACCTCCACTTTCCACATACTCCTTCATTTCGCGTGCATATCTTTCTTTGTCCTCTTTCGCTTTTGCTTCATACTTCTGAAAAAATGCTGTCTCTTGAAATGGCTGCATATAACAATTCAGGTCACTTATAAGTGATAACAGCAATAGAAAGGCTATGAAATAGGCGGATTCAGGAGGGAGGTGGAGTGAGGACAATGGATCTTTTGCCCCCAGTGGCACAGATAGCAGTGCTAAAACTATAGAAAACTCTCTTTCGCACCACCCTTCCCCGCCCCCTGTCTGGATCCGCCCCTGGGCTAGGAAAATATTGTTTTTCCTGATCATCACAAATGGAATCAACCACAAACGAAGATCTTGCTTACCCTGGCCGATAGCAATAGCGACGAGAAAAAAAGTAATTATTTGAACAAATTTTAGGGAGGATGACCGCAATAAGTGTCTAATGGTGGCGAACACAAACTCATGGCATGCAATTCGGAAGAAAAGAATCTAACACGCAGTAAGGTCCGGTCAAACAGAGTGAAGGGATTAGACGTTGAAGCCCTAGTGCGCACAGAGCAACAGAAAATAACCTTTTTCGTTTCTTCATCAATCTCCTTCCACATTTTGCCTGCTCGCTGCGCTGCTTCCGTTACTGAAACACCCTCCTTCTTGAATTTCGAATAATTTTCACCAAACCATATGAAGTAAGCTGATTGGGGCTTTTTCGGAGCATTCGGGTCCTTCTTTTTCTTCTCTCGCTTCGCAGTTTTTGTAACTTTAGCCGGAGCATCTTTCTGAAACAAACAAAAAAAAAGACATAGCTTAACGAACCTGTTTTTTTTTTTCAAATTTCCGATAACACTTATAATTATTAACTGTATGTATGTATCTAGGCATGCGACTTTAATACTGAACCTTTAAAAAACGATCAAAAAAGACAAATAAACAGCGATGTGAATCAGGGGATCCTTAAAAAAAAGAGTACAGGACTACCTTTTTCTTAGGTTTTGGCGATTTTTTCTTCTTATGCTCACTCGACCCGTCTTCCGACGAACCAACAGCATCACTGTCATACTCTTCCTCTGGCTCACTGCCCGATTCTTCGGACGAACTCTCTTTTTTTCTTTTCAAATCCTCCTCCAAATCGTAATCACCTGAAGCAATTCACGAAATTCTACACCTATTAATTGTACACTGGAAAATATAGGGTGTGGGCAGTACGAATTCCTGAGATGCTTGCACCTATTTTCAGGCAAAAAAAAAATGAAACGAAGTATTCTTGGAGCATGCCGTGTCCCAACATAAAAGAGAGCAGTTCGATCCCTTTTTGGCTCATAAGTATTTTAAAAAAGAGGTTCCATTCACCATATTCCCCTTAAATACACGACTTTCGTGATTAAATGATGTTTAACTTAAATTTTAATTATCACTTTCCCTGACTATCACTTGCCTTTTAGCTATAACCATTTTCATAACTCCGCAAAAATATTCAAATTTCGTAAAGTACACAGGCAGTGCACTAGATTTCCAGTACAGGATTTTGAAAAGGCGCTGCTCAAATGATTAAAAATATACAAAGCAAGAAGAAACTAACGATCTTCACTGTCCGTGTCATCATCGCTTTCAGCCGCTTTCTTGTCCCGCGCTTCACTTTTCAGAGTTTCCTTGTACGGA